TGAAAAATTTGCGATGAGTTACGGTATTGAGAGCACAGGGTTGGTGTAAAGAAACAACCACTCATGCAGTTAACCTAATTATTTTAAGTCTGGTGCAAAAACGCATGATCGCACCGGCTCGCCTGGTGCGTTCCAGCCTGGGTTTGCTTTGGATTGGTGTGCCTTCAGTTGTTATTTACGTCCACACCTCGCAGGAGCCACATCTTTTTAGAGTTTAAGTTGGTGCCACGCATACTGCTAGATACTCATCACCCATAACTGTGAACAAAATAAGCAATAAATTCCGCTCAAAGAATTTCACTTTTTTTGTGACGAGTACGGTTATCTTCATCACCGGCGGTATTTGGTTGTTTGTGTCTGCTCCAGTCCATCTTTTTATCCTGCTGACCTTATATTTCATGTAGCTCCATTCCGCGGGCAAAGTAGAGCGAGAATGAGTGAAGGAGAAAATAAAGGAAGAGCTAACACGAGATGAAACAAAACCAAAAGATCTTGTGTGCCGTAAATTGCAAGAATGCGCTATTTCAGAAATCACACTGTTTCAGCTGCTACTGTCTCTCATAATACTATTGCTTGAAATGTGCTACGTTTTGTTGCATGAATGAGTACTGGCTGTAAAAATGCGAGGTAAAAAAGAAGTTTCGGCACTTTTTGCACTTTCACAGACAATAGGCTTTTGACCTCCAACGACCTCTGTGGCAAACCGCCAAATAGCCGTGCATAATGAATGCTTTTCACAAAACACGGCACCCTTTGCAACGTTGCTAAAGTGCGAGCAGGGTCATATTATTTGTAAGCAAGTAAAAACAATAGAACATGCAAATTACTCTCGGAAATTGGATACGGCACGGTGACAGGGAAAGCAAAAGGTTCTCAGCTTCAAGCACAGAAGTGGGGGATTCATTTTGTTGCAACTTTATAAACTGCAGAAATGACGCATCGTCAGCAGAAAATTTACGAAATAAAATTAAACAAAATAGCAGCACGTAAGAGAAGACGGATAACAAACACGCGTTTTTACTTCTAGTTGTTGAGGATCACTGTGTTCTTTATTAGATGATATTACGAGCGCTAACTTTTCCAGTTGTTGAGTTAAAAGTAAATGACCAGTTGCACAAACATACACGTGTACACGCTCACTCACAACAAACACACACATACATATGCACGCACAATACGCATCCATTAAAACCGCAAAGGACGCACCTGAACTGCTAACAACATAAACAAGATGTGCTACCCATATTTTCGTGATAGATATTTACCGCCTTTCCAGACTACTTCTTTGCACAGTTAGCAAATTTACCTGCTGTCGATGCACTATTGGGTCAGCTGGCAATCTCGTCAGTCCTTTTCGTCGCATCTTTTTTGCA